TGTAGCATTTCGTTAGTTGGTCTTTTCGTGAGGTGATCAGTCGAAGTCGACGGACAGCTGCGTCCAGGTAAGGTACGACTGATAAATAGAAAATTTTTGTAGTTCACGACTGGAAGTAATAGACTCGGATCAGGACGAAAATCAAGATTTACAGTTGAAGGCCACACTAAGGTAATGATTCTTGATAATATAAACTACTTGTCCAATTGCAGTACAGCTGATGTCTCGCGAAACCAAAAACCACCCTACATAACTGCTACGTACGCATTCGTCTATCAGTTCCCATTGATCGTCTAATCACGTGACAGAGCTGTTCACGACAGACACTAATACTTATCCAATCCGTTTTGTCCATGCGCCGGCTTGATCTATTTGTCGATCATCGTTTAATCGATTGATGTACTCTCACGATCATTCATTAAATCGTTAACCCGATCCCGGGTCGCACGCTGTCTTGTGTGTTCTGATTTCCTGTGTTGGGTTACGGGCCCTAAATTACGGTGCACCGCGTGGCGGTTGGAATTCGGTCTTAACAATAACGATGGCCGGGGGGGTGGGGTGAATTGCTCGCAGAGCTTGGTGAGATTTTGGATTACATTAATACTGACTTCATCTTCGTTGCAGTTGCAGATGTCAAAAAGCTTAATGCAAAATCGGACAGAATGGAGAGAACAATGCACCAAATGCGGGCGGAGATGAATATGTTGTCACTGAATCGCATATGTTCAGTTCAAATGGGTTTGCCAGTGCAATCCTTGGATGACTTTTACCTATTGGAGGACGAACTGCGCAACACTGAGACAGCAAGTGATTTTGTAAGTTTCACTAAATCTAATAAACAGGCATATCTGATTTGAGGTGACATATTTGTCATCCTCCAGAGGTGAAACCATAGGTAAATGCATTCGAATTATGGTTCGAAGAGTGTTCACAGCTTCAACATGCCGTCAACTCAACTGGAATGGCATACATGGAGAGGCACCGCTGTCTTCATCAAATGTTACACATGCAATACTTCGTGAGTAGATAAATGTTCTTTTATTTACAAGTTATCTATATGCTATATAAAAACATTAACAGAAAATCTGTTTATTTTTCAGATGCTGTGTATAAACAACAGTATTCGGGATTCTCAAGGGAAGATGCCCGCCGGATATGGAACAGATTTGTTCAAAGATATCGCTGAACAAAAAAAAACCACGAACAACAACATTGTACAGCGTTTTTTGTTTTTATATAACTAAATCATTATTGTTAAATATCTGTGTTTTATTTGTCCATAATGCGGGGAATGTAGTTCAGGCAGAAAAAGTATAAAGATGCGGTTAATTGACACGCGCGTCTGGCTTTATAGGATTCCATCACGACGAGACTGCACCTTAGCGTGGTGCGATGGCTTGCGCGCCTCAATGACCCTGCGAGCTACACAGGATGGCTCCTCAGCCGCAGATCCAATCATGCCTGAAAGATCAAGGGGTAGAGGCCAGATGAAGATCAGTCTCACAAGCCAGCTGCTTGGGCATCCCCTGGCTTCTTTCTTCTATCCACACCCGCTCCTGGAGAGGTCACTCCAGCAAATAAACACGGTGAGGGACAGTTTACCGGTCAAAAAAACCCGCTAGATGGATGTAGAAACGGGGTACCTTGGGCTTACTCTCTACGGTGGGAGAAGTCTTCGTACTTCATTGGACAGCTACCGCCCGCCCAAGCTGGGCAGCCCCCAGCAAATAAGGTGCTGTCTCGTCCACGTTCCGCTTGTCTCATTGAGTGCATGAGGCTAAGGGCTGATCCCGAAAAGCGGACCGATAATCAACGCACCAGCGAACAACAAACTTAACCGAAATTCGAAGGCCTTGCGTGACAGGTCCCCAGAAGCTCCCACACGGGTGCTTCGTTCACGCTCCCGCGTTAGATTTATACCCAACTGCCTTGTGGGTCAGGCTTTCGAGTCAAAGGTTCCGGTTAGGGTTCCCAAAGTAAAACCCCTTCGTTGATGTGGGCTACCGCGAAGTTTGTCGTGCCCTGAAGTCTTAGGCACCCATTTGGAAAAACCTTTTTCCGATCTATCTAGTTCTTCTTCTCAATCCCGAATAATACCCAACACCTGCTGTTTACAAGACCCATCGGATATCAATCAGCGTTTTACCAACAAGTCCAAACAATCAGAAGTTACAGGATTTTTGAAGCCGAAATTCCCTTTTCACTTAGCCCCGTTCAATGTCCGCACATCCTATCAGATCGGTCAACAAGCTGCATTGGCTAGAACCCTTGAAACTTTCAATTTGGATGTATGCTGTGTCTCCGAAACACGCACACAACACCTTACTTCCATTATCTCTCTGCGTTCTCCTGATCTAACCTCAACCACACGCTTCACCCTTTGTGTGTCAGGCGATTCGGCGTCCGAAGCTCGTGGTGTT